GGGGGTCTTTCTGGTACAGCCACGGAGGAAGCCAGGTACAGCAGGTGGGACACTGGCCTTGCTGGAGGCCACTGTGGGAGACTGGGGTGTGAGGGGGAGGGCAGTTCCCTGCTCCTCCCCAGGAGCACCCCGTGGAGCTCTAGTAGGTGAATTGCATCCTGAGGGCTGAGAGGCCTCACCTTCCTGCAAGGGATTCAGGCCCGCCTCCCTCCCCGCTAGGGCCTGCCTAATCCTCTTTCAGTTCTCCTTCCTGTCAGCTGTGCTGAGGGCAGGGCCAAGAGCCCTCCACACCCGGGTCTACCCATCCGGAAGTCCTGAGTCAACAGCCGTTTCCCAGAATCCACCTCAGTTTCTTCCCACACCTGAGCCAGACTGTTCCCAGGAATGAGGTGGGGCAGCAGGAGAGAGTCAGGTGTGTGCCCATGTGCAGAATCTCCGGGAGGTGGGGGGAAGCCGGGATCTGTGGGTGATGCCTCTTGCCCTTGGCCTCCAGAGCCTGTCATCAGCACAGATGGCCGAGGTCCATCCCCAGAGATTCCGATTGTGTGGGTCTGAGGGTGGGGCAGGGCTCCCAGAGATGTTCGGGCTTCTGGAATCACCTTTCCTGGCACGGTGCTGTGTGCGAAGCCAGGGTGCGGTTGGCAGGAAAGAGATAATAAATGTAGTCACGATTTGCAGCATGCCAGGCTCTGGGCTAAGGGCATTATGTGCATAATCTCTTTTAATCCTCACCCAGCGCTGGGACTTGGCACCACTTTTATGCCTGTTTCACAGATGAGGTTTAGGAAGACGGGGAGAACTTGCCCAGGGTCACACAGCTTGCAAGTGAGGCTTCCACCCAACTGTCTGACTCCACGGCCGAGGGAGTAAATGTTGATGGGCTGACTAAACTGTGTTGAGTGACCACTAGAGGAAAGGCCAAGAGGTAAAAAGTGTAGCCACACCTCGGAACATTTAGCAGCAAAGGAAAGGGGGACCCAGAGGGATCTCAGGATGCCTCAACTGCTGAATCCGTCGAGACTGAAAATAGTGTCGACATTTATGTATCTTAAAAAAAAATGGAGGGGTTCAGGGGGTACAACATAGTGACAGAGTGCTTGCCCAGCAAGGTGAGACCCTGGGTTCTATCTCTACTACTGCAAAGATAAGAAATAAATCCACACGCACAAGCACACGTGTCCATATACACACATCTACATAATAGAAATTTTTAAAAAGAGGCTGGAGGGAACGGTTTTGTCCCTTCTCTTTCCATGGAGGATATAGATAGAAGCAGACCTATGAGAATCTGATCATCACCTAAATCTCCTGGCTTCTTGATTTTGAGCTTCCTAGCCTTCATGAAGAAGAACCATGAGCAATCCATTTCTATTGTTTATAAATTTAAAATTATTTATTTACTGACTTTTGGCCGGGGGTACTGGGGATTGAACTCAGGGGCACTCAACCACTGAGCCACTTCCCCAGCCCTAGTTTGTGTTTTATTTACAGACAGGGTCTCACACAGTTGCTAAGCATCTCGCTTTTGCTGAGGCTGGCTTTGAACTCAATACTCCTGCCTCAGCTGCCTGAGCCACTGGGATTACAGGTATGTGCCACTGCATCCAGCCTCAATATTCACCTTTTGTGTGTGAGTGTGTGTGTGGGGGGGTGTTGGAGATTGAACCCAGGGCCTTGTGCATGGGAGGCAAGCACTCTACCAACTGAGCTATCTCCCGAGCCCCACTATAAATTTTTAAAAAATAGTTTTGACAAAAGGAAAAGGCAATGTGATACTCATTATCCTCTCTGCCTTGTATTTATCTAAAAAGCCCATATTTAAATATAAAATCCCCCAGGATTAAAAAAAAAAAAAGCTATTTTGTTCTTTTTTCTCGTACCCCACTGAGCCCCAAGACTGTCAATGGTGTTCTGCTCCAAACATGTGGTAAATAAATTTGCTTAAATTGTCTTTGTTTTTTTAATGGTAGAGGTATAATAGACAAGCACCTACTGTAAATTAGCTCAAATTCCTACTGCGCTGTACAGGGGATACATTGAAATGGGATTGTGGTGCCACAGGTGAATTCTGTGAACAACATCTTTATATTGAACGGAGAAAACAGTGGTCAGAGTTCTCCTTGCTGGATAATATATATATATGAAAAATGAAATAAAATCACCTGGTATGTCAGGATTTACTAGAAAAAAAGCAACCAACTGACTGGAATCCTTCACAAAAGGAAACTCAGCTTTGGAGGATCTTACCCCAAACTCTTTTCTAGAAAGTCCCTTGAATGTGACACAAGGTTAAAGTATGATACTGCATTTTCGTCCCAATGGTCAACTTCCTCATTTTTGTAGATTTCAAATTTACATTTCAAAGGTCATCTAATGTGCTTAAATAATCCCGTGTCTGGATCAATGACTGCAAAATGAGAATCGAGGGAGAAGGGACTGTTTCCCCTACAGGACGCCCCTACTCCAGCCTGGGGGACCCCCCCCTTCCCCGGGCACCCTACACAGAGTCCTTAGGGCTCTGTGGATCACACCTTGCATAACCATCCGAGGGCCTGTTTCCCACGTGGCTCTTGGTGGGCAGACAGCCCTGAGACTGAGAGGCTGTCATTCAGTTGCAGCTCAATCCACTTAGGGGAAAAGGAGCCTCTAGCTACTCTGATGAGCATTTCTCTGCATTTAATATAATTTTACTTTTTAAACATATTCCCTAAAAGCTGGTGAGCTCCGGGCTCAAAGAAACTCGGGGACGTTATTTTCGTGGAGTTCTATTTTTAATTATGAATCTGAGTTAAAGTGCTCTCATCTGGGCTTGCTCCCCGGCCTTGGGAACTCAGTCCCTGGGACTCCCACAAGTCAGGACACTGCATTTAGAAGTGTTTTTTGCTTTTTTGTTTTGTTTCCCCCCTGAACTCTTGCCCTAATTGGCAGAAGGAACCTGACACAGTGCTAGTTTAGCGTGGACCTTCCAACAGAGACTAGATGGCATTATCTGACCTACAACCCCACAGCCACAGCCTCCATCTTCCATTCCCACACCCGCGTGCCCTTGTTTAGAGCTTATCTTCTGGGAGAACAAAATCCCAGCTTTCCAACAAAATTTCCCTAAATTGAGAAACTCTTCAAATCTTCCTTGAATAGAGCCATTGGTGTCTCCATTAAATATATAAAGACTTTAAAATCTTCACAGAAAGTTGAAGATGGAAATGAACTCTGAGGGAGATGGATTCCAGGACCCCTCAGGTCCCCAAGTCCTCAGATGCTGAAATCCCCTAGGAAATGGCATATTATTTGCCTGTAAACTGTGAACACAGCTCTCTTGACTTCAAATAATCTCTAGGTGTACGTAATACAATGTAAGTGCTATGTCAGTAACTCTTACAACATATTGTTTAGGGAATAACAACAAGAAAAAAGTCTGAAAGTGTTCAGGACAGGCACAATTTTATTTTTTCTGAATATTTTTGATCTACAGATGGTTGATTATGAAGATATAGAACCCATGGATCCCGGGGGTTTACTGTACAAGTGTACAAGGTTTTAAGATTGGTAGTACTCACATTAAAAGTAAAGAGCTCCCAGGAGAAATTAATTTGTGTGTGTCTGTGTGTCTGTGTGTGTGTGTGTGTCTGTGTATCTGTGTGTGTATCTCTGTGTGTGTGTGTGTGTGTGTGCACATACACACACTGCTGAGAATGGAACCCAGGGCCTCATTCATGCTAAATAAGTACCAATGAGCTGTATAGCCCCAGCCTTAAAATTAATTTTACTGACTTATTTATTTATTTATGCTGGGGATTGAACCCAGGGGCACTTAGCCACATCTCCAGCATTTTTTTTTTTTTTTTTGAGACAGAGCCTCGCTAAGTTGCTAAGGCTGGCTTTGAACTTGCAGTCCTCCTAACAGCCTCCTGAGCCACTAGGATTACAGGTGGGCACCACCACTTCCATCAGTAATATGTTTTGTAGTTGTAGATGGACAGAATGCCTTTATTTTATTTGTTTGTTTTCATGTGGTGCTGAGGGTCAAACCCAGTGCCTCGTTCATGCTAGGCAAGCCCTCTACCACGGAGCTACAGCCCCAGCCCAGTAATACATTTTATTTAACCCATTGTAATTTGAATATTATCATTTGGACATACAGTCAATATTAAAAATTATCAGTGATATATTTTATGGATTTTTTCCCATGCTAACTCCTTGGAATCCAATGTTTTTGTTAAAATTATGGAACATCTCAGTTTGGACAAGACACATCTCAGGTGCTCAAGAGCCATTTATCAAAAGAGAAGACCTAATCCATCACCTGAGAGCTGGAAGAATTCTCAAGAAATGCATTACTTGTCTGCTCCTGCAACATTTTCTTCCTTGAAGTAAGATCCCTAGTTCTATATCTGTCTAGAGAGCCCATCTAATAGACACTTAATACAATGAATGAATGAACAACTTTACAATTTCTTTTCCTGCCTCTCAAAACATTCCATCTGCAAATGTGATTTAAACATGAAAGTCTGTAGACAATCGCATGCATTTTCTTTGAAATCTGAAAATAAGCTTTCTTTTCTTTTCTTTTCTTTTCTTTTTTTTTTTTAAGGAGTTGAAGGCGGCATAAGGGTTTAATTTGCCAGACTTGTCCGCAGAGCCTTGGTACCACAGGAACCCACTGAAAGTTAATACTGTAAACTTGTCATACTTTGACTTCAATAAAGTAAATGTGTCACTAAGTATCAACCAACACCAGGTTGTTCAGTAACATTTGGGGCAGAGACCCAACTCCACAAGGTGCTAAACCAGCCCCATTCCTTCAATCAAGGAAGAGGAGGAGGGCGCCCTATGACCCCGAAGGAGGAGCAGGAAGGGATTCCTTTCCCAGCCCAGCCTGGGGCTGTCACTGGTACCCACAGCTCTAGGGTATCTGCCTCCTTCCTATGCTCTGGCCCCTTCTTCTTCTTCTTTTTTTTTTATATTTTTTTTAGTTGTTAATGGACCTTTATTTTATTTATTTATATGAGGTGCTGAGAACCGAACCCAGTGCCTCACACAGGCTAGGCAAGCGCTCTACCACCGAGCCACAACCCCAGCCCCTCTTCTTTTCTTTTAAAGTACAATGTCACCCTGATTCTGTCCTAATGGTTGAGCCGTGTGGCCACCCGACTTAGCACATGGTTCCTACTTGGTTCTGCCTCATATCTATTTACCTGGAAATTTGGATTCACCACTGATTATCTGCTGACTCATCATGAATTACAATCTGAATCCCTTCCAAGCTGGACCACCCCCTCTAAAACTAGCCATGGGGGAGCAGAATGAGGAGGGTGCGCTTTCCACGGTCCCACCACACCTTCCGAACACAACCTAGGATGAACTTGGAAGTCCCTCATTCAGTCTCACCTGCCCTCAAGGAGCTTCCAATTGAGAAGCATTCCAAGATGCCACAAGATAAATGGCAAGATGATCCCTGACATCAGCTATCCAACTTGGAGAGCAGAGGGAACAAAAGTAGGGGAGCTAGTTCACTTATTCATCCAGTAATTGTGCATCAGACAATAAACAAGATAAATAAGTAAAATGTGAAAAAAAAAATGTTAGCCCTGAGAGCCAAACAGAGAATAAATCAGAGAACAGGGATATGAATTTACTATCTCAAAGAAAATTCCTAAAAAAGACCCTCTTTTTCCACAATATTAATTACAAAACACGGTCTGAACAAAGAGAAGCTGCAAAGATGCTCCCTATCACGGCAGGTGCCTAGGGACGGAGAGGTGGTGCAGACAGAACCCTGTGAGGTGGGCTCAGTTACTGCATCTGTGAAATGGGGCAGGGAGGGCGTCCACCCTTACCAAGTGTATTCATCCACGTCCTAAGAAACAGACAAGGAGAGCAGCGTGGGCATGCCTTAGATGTCTCTAGGAAAACATCTGTGGCAGGAAATGGAGGAGAAACCAGAAGAGGCTGGGAAAGCAGGGAGCCCCTGCCGCAGACCAGACCGTGCAGAGGAGAGGGCCAAAATACTTTCTAGAAGTTTAAAATCGGTGGAACTGGTCCAAATGATTCTAAAAGTTGAGTAGGAAAAATATATTTTAAACAATGGCTGAAACGTTTTTGAAAAAGATTAGTAGGTGTTGAGATCTTGGCCTGCTACATGTTAAAACTTACTATAAAGTTTTACAGACAAATACAATATGGCTCTCACCTAGTAAAAATAAATGGATTTAATGGAACAAATTAGAGCATGTGTACGAACTTAATATAGAATAAGGTTTCATTCCAATTCAGTGGGGAAGGGAAAAGCAACTCCATATTTGGGATAACTAAGGTTAAGACTGTGGTTCATTCCACTCATTTCTAAGAGAGGTGGCAGTATATAGTAGGTAATAGGGATGGGACCAAGATCTGGAAAGAAGGGTGAGACTTGGGAGCCAAATGCAAGGAGGTGCTCATTACGAGGGTCCTGCAAATGCTTGGAGTAGTGAGGCACTCATTTGCCTCATCTCAGTCCCAGCCTGGTAGACAAAGGTACCTGTCAAAGGAGTTCACCCCAGCAAGAGTCAGGGGCCCATTATCATTGCTGATGATGGACGGTAGCAATGGTGCTAGCTTGTGAGCAATCGAGATGCCCACCATTAGGAAATGGGTGAGCAAATCATGCTAAACCCACAGTGTAGACTGCACAGGTTATTAAATGGGATGAACTGAACTTAGACCTAGGTCTGTTATCACATATTATTAATGAAAAGATAAAAGTTGCAGACCAGTGTCCGGCATGATAAGATGCTACGCACACATATGCCTATTTATCTCAGCTCTTGAGAATAGTGAAAATACTCACGAGATAGTTACCTTTGTCTATTTTGGGGGGGGGGAATGGGCTGGGATGAGGAGAGAGAGGGTTTTATTCTTCTTTCTGTAACTTTATTATTGGGATGTGAGTGTGTGTGTGCGTGTGAGTGTGTGTGTGTGTGTGTGTGTGTGTGTGTGTGTGTTGATTGTGTGGAAATTTTCAGAGGGGAAAACACTGGAGTCAAATCCCCCTCCAAAAGAAAAAAGAAGAAGAAGAATGAATGAATGAATGAATCCATTTTAGCAGTTGTTTGGTTGTGGAAAGGTAGTTTGGGGGCAAGTCTAGTGGATAAGTGTGATATTGGGGAGCTAAAATGGTTCTATGTGACAGACTGGGAAGAATCGTGAGTCCCAGAGCAAGAGTCAGGGGCCCAGAAATGAGTGGCCATGGAGGGGGAGAGGGGGCCTGCACAGAGAGCGAGACCACAGGTCCCAAAGAGGAAACTCAGCCAGCCAGAGGGGCCCCATGTCAGCACTTAATTTTAGGTTTTTTGCTGTACAGGGAGACCTCTCCCCAGCCACCCACTGTCAGCCCCAAACCGTTTGTTAAACTCTGCCACGTGTAGCTATCATTTTTTTTTTTAATGCAGCAAGAAGTAACCAGAAGTGCTAGCATGATTGGAAGTAAAAAGGCACATAATAACAAGTGCTGGGGAAGCTGGAGAAACTGCAATTGCCATGCCTGACTGGGAGGAAGGTAAGATGGGAAGATTTCCTAGACACTCTGCCGGGTCCTCAGAAGGTCAAACCACATGACCCAGAAATGCCACTCCATTGTATCCAAAATAATGAAATGAAAGCATGTGTCCATAGACTAGCTCCTGCATAAATATCCAGAGTGGTTTTATTCATAGTAGCCGGCAAGTGAAAGCAGCCCAAGTGTTCATCAAGTGATGAATGCACATGTAAAATGTGCTACAGTGGTGGATGCTTACTTGGCAAATGAATAAATAATGATGCACTGATACATGCCATTACATGGGTGAACCCTGAAAACACTGTTAAATAAACGAAACCAGCCGCAAAAGATCACATGCTTAAAGATTACATGAGATGCTTAGAACAGGCAGGTCCACGGAAATGGAGAGAAACCAGAGGTTGTTGGAGCTGGGAAGAGGAGAGGTGATTGCTAGTGAGTATGGGATTTCTTTTTCTTTTCTTTTTTTTTTTTTTTAAAGACTATCTTTAAAAGCAGTCTTAGGTTCACAGAAAATCTGGGAAGCAGTAGAGTTTCTATATATCTTCTATCCCACAAATCACCTTTCTGGTATCAACATTCCCCACCAAAACAAACCTTTCAAGTTGCTTACCTCAGGTATTTCGTCACAGTGTTGGAAAGCTAACAAACACATCCAGCTGTGTTTCATAAGTTGAAATTTAGTCCCTGCTGTGATATAGGAAGAGGGTGGAATCTTGATCTGACTATGGTGCCTAGGGACAAAGCCTTGGGAGGTGGTTAGGATTGGATAAGGTTATCAGAGTGGGGCTCCTATGATTGAATCCTGGTGGTTTCATAAGAAGAGGGAGAGAGATCAGAAAAGATACACACTCTCACATGCATTCCCTATCTTTTGCTGTGTGATGTTTTTCACCCTTGGAATTCTGCTATCAAGAAAGCTGTCATGCAGATGCAGTCCCTTGATCTTCAACTTCCAGAAACATGGACCAAAATAAACCTCTTTTCTGTGTAGTTACCCATCTGTGGTATTCAGTTATTAACAACAGAAAACAGGTCAATACATACTTTCTAATAAAAAAAATCAAGAAAAATAAAAAAGGTAAGATATGACTCTGGAAGATTCAAACTCATTAGCTTCATTCATGTGAAATGTTTATATTTATGCTTCATCAATATGCAGCATGTATTGTGGAGGTACACTTGGTTGTGATACAGGAGTATATGCTAAATGTGGGTGGGTCTACTACCCATTTATCTGTTCCCATCTTTAAAAAACAAAACAGTAGTTAGGTTAATCATATGTATGTGAGCCTGAACGTATTAAGCATCTGATGACAAAGTCGGAATGATATTTTACCTTTCCTGATCATCATTGTCATGGGAAGGCATAAGCAGGCTCTCTTATTATCAACCTGTTGGGCCCTGAGCACATCAGATCTCCAAGGCCCATTCAAGCTTGCTCTACTCACGATCAGAGCCAGAAAATAAGGATGCAGGGGCCGATGTAGCCCCAACTTTCAGTTTGAACCAACTGAGAGCAAATGAAGGAGTCAGATCACCTCACTACATCATCAAACGTTTATGGATCATCTTTTAATTCCATCAACGATGTCAGGGTAAATAGTAAGTGGTCAGTAATTGGATCTCTCAGAGGAAAGAAAAAGCCCTGACAGTCTTGCAGCACTTGCCAATTTCAGTAGTGTAAATACTCCCCACCATGACCACTTACAAGCTGCTAATATGATGTTCGCCATCATGCAAAATTCACGAAAAATAAACGACCAGTTCTCCCCGTACCACAGCCCCAGCTGACGATGACATCCACCCACGGACATAATATGGTATCCACTAGGATTATATTCAGCTGAGAGGGACAGAGACTCCTAAGAGGTGGTGATTTCACAGTGAAGTTTGTCTCTCCCTCATGTGAAAGAAATCCAGATAGGTAGTCCAGGACCACAATGGTAGTCCTAGACAGTTATCAAGAACTTGGCCTCCTGGCTCCTGGTTGTGCCATCCCTTGGAGACAGCCCTCATCTTTGTGGTTCAAGATGGTTGACATTCCGTCCAAGTTAGAATGATCAGAATGAAGGAAGTTGCCAAAGTGCTTGTCTGGTTTTTTTTTCTTTTCTTTTCTTTTTTTTTAATCCTAGGAGGATATCTTGCTCCATTTTCTGCTGCTATGACAAATTATTGGAGACTGAGTCATCTGTAAAGCATAGAGGTTTATTTGA